ACGTGTATTAATAAATGTATTTTTTTTTACTGATAACTTTGTGTAATGTATTTTTTATGCTAAATAATTTTGTACTTTTTATTTATTGATGTATTATAATTTTATTTTGCAATTTTTTAATATTAAAATGTACCATATGAATAAAAATTTAACACACTCAAACAAGTTTATTTCATTAAAATTAAAGTTTACAACACACATAAATCATAGAACATAAAAATAAAAACAACATGATTAAAAATGACTTAACACACCAATAAAAACAACATGATTAAAAATGACAACACACAAATATACCAATTTATTTGAAATAAAAAAAAATAAAAAAATAATATATTTAATGTGGAGATAAGGGCTGGAGATGAATGTTCAACTCTACACTAGAGTAGAGTAAAGTCCGCGTTAGAGTACAGATAAGGACTGGAGATGGCCTAAGAAATTTTGTTAAATTTTGTAATTTTAGGCTATTATTGGTATTCTAGAAATTTACAATATATGAATACCCACTTAAAAAATTCTATGGGAGATGGTCTAATACTTAGGTGAGTTGATCAATAATACTTTTGTAATTCGTAACACCCTACCTTTCTACCGTTAAAAAACCTTCGAAATTCATAAGAAAATTTTTCTTTCTTTAAACATTTTGAAAAACTTAGCTTAAATTATATCTCGTCTCATCATCCTTGTCATTTCATAATAAAACATCAAACCTTGGACCAATAACTTGTTCATAAAATATACTCATATGAAGTCTCAAACATATTTAAATATATAGAAATTTGAAAAATAACTGGTAACATGAAACGTGGAATTTCATTGACCTTGACCACCCTCGCATTGCTCCATTGCCAACTCGAACAACCTGGGTGCAGAAAATAAATAGGGATGGACATTTCCACTTACTCAATGGGGAAAACTTTCTACGTAGACATTCAGTATTATAATATTTAAGATGGAACGCCCCGAATATTTTTAGTATATATGGAGCTCGACTTTATTTCCACAAATAGCAAATTTATTTGATGCATTTATTTATTATTATTTGCATTAAATTGAGTATTAAATTCTAAGTCTAAGCCACAGAGGATCTGTTCAATTTTTAATTTAAAAATCAAATTTAATTAGCCCAAGTATGGATTTAATTTTAAGTTGAAACCGAGCTTTAGAAAATTGGAATTTTATTTAAGTCAGGTCGAGGCCCGTCCCAAGAGCCGTGACCCACACTACACGGCTAAACCCTTGAAAACCACTCGGCCATAAGGCCGAGCCCAAACATCAAACCGTCTCACGGCCTTTAATCCACCTAAGGCCACCAAGTTATTTAGTCCATGAAACCAACGTTATTTCCTAGCCCAACTCATTTAATAAATGAGGCTCAATCCTATTATATTATTGTTAATGAACGGTTTCGATCAACGGTTAAGATAATAAGTGATGAAAGGGCGGGACAGAAAAATAGGGAGATGATATGGGTTAATTATGATTTTATTAAACGATCACGAGGTCGACCCCTTGTACGAGGTCGACACTTGTGATATACTTACAATTCTTACAGTAGTTTATTACAGTTCTTTGAGAGAGGAAGTAGAGAGAAGGCAAAGTAGTTGAGGTTTCAACAACCCAAAATAAATGAAGTGGGTTCCTATTTATAGTATCCTTAAATGATGTACTGTTCAGATACTGTTCATCGGTCTTGTCGTACAGTAGCTCTGCAGAGCAGTTCGGCACCTCCCTGACAGTTATTTAATGCGATTTGAGGATTCTTCAATCATTGCCTATCAGACATTTAATGCAAGCATGGGGGGCATTTAATGCTGACATGCTTTATGGCTAGGCTACCCCGTAGGGTAGTAGGCTATGATGGACCATCCCATCACCCAATGATGGTCTTCCAAGTGGAAATAGTTTTAATATTACTGAGCCCCGCGCTCACCTCCGGAGCGGCCGCTCTGGATTTCCAGCTCGGCACCGACCAAATATGCTCCTTAAGCCTTCAGGATCCCTTTTCTAGTCCGACATCTGGCGAGGTCGGAACCTCGGTTTCTTAATGTCAGGAGTCGATCTCACAAACTGTTCTTATAGTGGTCCTGGTCACTTGATTTCGTTACTCAGCTCGGCGCTTCTGAGCTGAGCCGGGTTCTCGACCCGGTTCTTGTTGGGTTCTGTTAGGAACGTCAAACAACAT